TGAGTTTACTTAGTATAGCAGAAAAGGTTTTATTTAAGAAAACGTACTTTATTTAGCAAGTACTTTTTTCATTTGACGTTACACAGCACAAGTGGTCGGATATTTTTTGTAGGGGAGTGTATAACCCATATAGGATGATCCTATATTACCTCGTCATTGTTAACATTAAGATAGGATAATCCTAGAGAAATTTGTCCGCCTGGAAATTTTCATTATGAAGTATTTGTGTAATAAAAATTCAAAACTTACATGCATATCCATTAAAACTTAAGTTTACATTTGATAATGCGAGTTTTTGAATAATTTAATGTGAATTTCATTGTAGGATTTTTGTGTAAATTTGAATGATTAAAATATTCTTGTCGAGTATCGGGGGTTTTAAATAAAATCTTTAAAAATACGTGCATATTCATTAAAACTTGAACTATCATCTTGACAATGCGAGTTTTTGAATAATTAATAGATGATCATCATTATTCTCGGTTTTTTAAAATATCATAATGCGAGTTTTGCATGATTATTAAAAATAGGCGTCCAAATACTTTTGACTGTAATCTTCCAATAAAATTAACTTGTATTTTTTTAGCAATTAAAATATCTGTTTGTTAAAAACGTATAAAACGTATCCACATTTTCCTTCCAAAAAATCATTCTTAAATCATCTCAACATTTAATAACAATAACAATAACAATAAAAAATTTTTAATATACAAAAAAAAAAAATTGTTGTCAAAATCTTTTAAATCTTTGGCATTTGCTCTTTTAATAATAATGATTTTCTCGAATGCATTTATCTATGCATCAGCAGCTTTCGAAGAAAAACGCGATGTGGACTCCTTGGAAAAACGCGCACCACCACCAGATATAGGCAAAGCTGCTTTTGCAAGATTCGGTGACAATGATAAAGTCAAAGGTGTAGTCACTTTTGTTGAATCGTTTGACGCTGGCAGTAGTAATCGACGCCTAGTTATAACTGCAGTGTTCTCCAAGGGTTTTGTGAGCTCGAGTATTAGTGATTATAAATTTCTCATTGAAGGCGGTGGTAATCTGAATGATATTTTTTCAAACTTGGTAATTGATCCTCCTAGAGCCAAAATTTTTGACTGCACTTTTATTATCAATGGGCCTAAAGTTAAAGATCTCATTGGAAAGCAATTCGTTATTAAGTTAAACAATAAACAAATTGGCCGTGATAAAATTTCAGCTATTTAATTAATCAATTTTTCATTATTTATGTATAATTATAATGTGTATGTTTTTAATAGCATTAACACAATTACTGTAATAACATAACAATGTATAATCAAATAAAAATAAAAATATTCTTTAGATGCTTATTCGAAAATATTAATAATATAACAGTTCTCTTTAAACAACTACTTTTTAATAAAATAAACTTAAGAGAATTTCTACCAAACGATTATTTATCAATCAATGATTAGGATTTTTATGATCCACATTTAATAAGAAAAAATATATTTTTGATGACCTGCCGTATTTTATTAATATTAATATTAAATATTTAATATATAGAGAAATAATTCGAAAAAAAAATAATGTTTTATTGTAAGTTTTTTTATCGAGTTTTTTTTTATCATGTGTTTAATGAGCTTCTTTGATGGCATTTCAATTATGTCGTAATTTATCTGTATGCTAGTATTTGAAGTATCAAAATGTTCTCCAAAATAATTTCTTTAGTTTGAATTGTGGCATTTGGACAAAGCAAGATACTGAACTAGCACATTGATATTTTGGTACAGACATTCAAACGTAATTGCTTATGACCATTAACATTACCAATACACATGCTTTAATCTCTTTAAGAGTAGAATCATTTTTTAACTTATTATCTTGGATCTCTCTCATTGTTGTAATAGTAGATTGCAACAAATTTATTGAATGATTAATAAATAGATTTTCCCATTCCTATAATAATAAACCATTATTAATAAAAATTTAAACAATTGAAATTTATATTCATACATACCATGCAACCTGAGCAAATGGTTGATAAATTACTGGTATTATTTATAATTGGAAGTTCTTTCAAAGAATGGCCATGATAACTATCACCTTCAGACATATTTAAAAAAAACATTCACACTTTCGATTTCACTTCCACTCTCATTTCCATTTTCTTCTTCACATATGTTGTAGTCATCACTTGTTTTTAAAGTAGACATTGCCTTTGATTTAGTATAATTTTCAAGATTAATAACATCATTGAATTTATTTATTTTATTGTTGTTTTTTGACGCATTAGCAGGTGTTGTTTTGGACGCGTTAGCAGATGTTGTTTTACGAGTTAGCAGATGTTGTATTGGACGAGTTAGAAAAAACTCTCAAAAGATTTTCTTTGAAGTGTATCTTATGTTTTGACATTTTTTTTTTTTATAAAAATGATTTGATTTTGCAGATCACTCAAAATCTAAATGACAATCTATATATAAATGTGAGATTTGTAATTCAATCTTTTCAACAATTCAAGCCACAAGTAATCGTAAAAAAAGACATAAGGAGTTTTTAATGGATAATAGTGGAGCAGAATCAGATTTAGAAATGAGATAGAGAAATTGATAAATAAAACAACCATGTTTCAAAGGAATGAAAATAGCTCATCTGTTGATGTAGAATCTAATGGAGATGTTGAATCCAATTATGTATATTTACACATTTTACTTTAATTCATTGGTTATTTATTATTATCCTTATTAAATTTTTTTCAATTGTTTCAGAATGTTATTGATTACTTATTCTGAATCTGATACAGAGTCTGCTATTGAATGTAATTACAAGGATGTCTTTACAAATCAGGAGGAGAGTTTGAGTCAAGAATTAACTTTCCCAAACAGTACATATGCAGATTTCATGAATTTAGTAGGTATAATACCTATATTCATTGATTTATTCAAATAGAACCATATGGAAATTTATTTAAATTTTCTTGAGTTGTTCAACACAAACTGTCTAATAGTGTAGGAGATGCCATAATAGGTTCTTTAATAGACATAAAAAACAAATCATAGTTTGCCAGGTTCTACTAGAATTGGTCACCAATTTATGGATAAAATAAATTTTAGTTGTTCAGATTTTCAAAAAATTAAAATTGTTGATTATGAAAATGAGGAATATTTTTTATATTATAGATCTATAATTAATGGGATTAATGAGAAACTATCAAAAGGGATAATGATATTCAGGATAACACGATGCTTATTTTTATAGACATTGAAGTTAATCACATAATATTATAACTAATGTTTTCATACTATTTACCAGATACAAATCAGTGATAATTACAATGAGCAATGGTCAGGAAAGTTGCATCTTCAACAATACTTTATGAGTCAAAATTGCTTTCAATAATTATATATTCTGATGCCACTAATTGTGATAATCTTGGTAAAACTATGAAACATCTCATATATATTACTTTAGGAAATATACTAGTTTGTCTTCGAAATAAGCCAGAATCTAAAACACTAATTGCTTATTTGCTCATTTTAAAAACCACAATTATTTCATAGAAAAGTTCAGCAGTGTTCAAATCTGCACAAAGATTGGCATTTATGAAATCATTGAAGATATTATTTGATCCAATCTATAAACAGTATGAAGATGGAACTATTCTTGAAATTAATAAAAGCTATATCTGGTGTGTATTGAAGCTATCTTTTATCATATCAGATTTACCAGAGGCATCAGCATTTTGCACAACTTATAAATCTTACAATTCGAAATTACCTTATCATACTTGTTTAGTTGAAAAAGAAAATTTAAACAATATGAATCTATCCTCAGAAAATATTTTATTACAAACACCAGATCACATGAAACAAGTCTTATGAGATGGGAATGATAAAGCCTACTCAATCTATCCAATAGAAAATATTTTTTGGAAATTTAAGTATGAAAATTAAGTAATAGTTGAGTGATAGTTTTATGTACTTTGTTACTTATAATAATATAAAAATAATTATGTAGGGAATTTAATACTTATAGTGCAACAGTTCCAGACAGGATGTACCATCTTGATTTAGGACCTTTTCCCTATCAATTACAATTAAACTTGTGAATTATTAAAATCATTATATGGTCAGGCATTAATTGATAAAATAGATGAACATTTTTCTAAAATTCCAAGATATCCAAACTTGAAAATCTTTAAAAATGGATTAAAAGAATTAAATAGATTTACTGCACATGAATATAGAATATGATACAAGTTTGTACATTTGTTATTGATAATCTTATAGATGATAGTGATAGCAAAATTTTGAAAGATTTGAGTGAACTTTATTATTTGTGGAATAAGATGTATATGATTAGTAGGAGTGAATCATTTAATGAATCATTATTAAATGAATTTGAAGTGAATAACTATTTGTATATCTTTTTATAATAAATTTTAAAGAATCTGCTTGCCAATAAATATTGTATTTTATAGCAAATAATCTATAGATGGTCAACTCAATTTGTAAAAATTTTAGGAAGATATTCTCCAACAAATTTAAATCTTCCTAAGCTTCATTCCTAGAAATACCACATCATTGATTCCATAAGATAATTTGGATCCATAAATGGATTTACAACAGATACTTTTGAAACACTTCATAAGTTTTATGTAAAGGAACCTTATAAATTGTCAAATAAAAAAAATACTTCTTTGCAAATGTTGACTATGGTAAGTTGTTTAAGTTAGCCTTAATAAAGAATTTTTGAAATTAATTTTAACACCTTTTCAGATTCGTAGAAAAATCATTATGGACACTATATATCAAAAAAATAAAAACATACTCAGAAATAACTATCTTAAATTAAAAAATCTAGTACTAGAATTTAAATTAGATAAAATTAATGATATCATTAATACTTTGAATAACAATGGGGAGGTTACAGAATGGATTAAAGCTTTTACAAATCTATTAAATTGTTTAGATTTATATAAAGCTCCTCACAAGCTGGTTTGCAAGCCAAAAAACTTATTCAGCTTGCAAGCTGGCTTGCGAGCCTAGTTAGTTATTTGGCTTGCAAGCTGGCTCATGTGGAGCCTTAGATTTATATTTTGAATTACTTGAAAACTTAAAAGAAGAAGTTAATAATGAGAATATTATAATTAAAACATTACATATTTTAAATTAGAAAACAATCAATTTGTCAGAGCTACAAATTTATGGTATGGAGAACCATTATTTACAAATATAGCAATAGAAATGGATGATGGATTATGCTATGCAAAGGTAAAGATCATGGAATTTGAAGATTTGAAAATCTTTCTTTTAAAGAAACATATTATTTATTGATTTACATCATTAAAGAACTTTTTTTTTGATACAAGTTTTGCTGTTGTTACAAATTCAATTTAATAACAATAGTGAGACTTATGAACTTTCCTTGGTTAAATGGTATAATTACAAATATGAAAACACTTCAAATATGGTTGTCCTTTAATGAAATTTATTAACAGTATGATTTAATACCTTTAAGTTCAATTAAAGAAACAATACATGTTATTCCAAGATTTGATAGAGAGAATGCTTATTTTATAAATAATTATATATTTTAAAAATGACTTTAAATAAACACACATCAATAGATCAAAATGTGATTAATTCATTGGTATATGAGATCTAAACTGTCTGATCCATACATCATAAAAATGTTATTGTTAAACACCTTTGCTCTTCTATATTGCTACTGACAACACTAACAGAACAGTGTGAAGCCATTTTTATAAAATATTGTTAAAATTTATTATAATTATAATGTAATTGTTGTTTAGTGAAAGTGTAAATTAATGTAAACTTATCATTTTTATAAAATCTTGTTGAATCTTATTATAATTATTATATATTATTCAATTAATAACAATTTGCATTTACATATTAGTCATTTTTGTAAAATATTGTTAGATTTTATATTAAAAATTGATATAAATTTAACAGGGATGTAAAATATCACACTTCAAAATTCCCTGATGTAGATGATCATCATTATTCTCGTTTTTAAAATATCAAAGCTTACGTGCATATTCATTAAAACTTAAGCTACATTTTGATAATGTGAATTTTGCATGATCTAATATAAATTTTCATTGTAGGATTTTGAATTAAAATATTCTCATCAAGTTTTGGGTTTTTAAATGAAATTTTAAAAATAACAAAACTTACATGCATATTCATCAAAGCTTAACTACATTTTGATAGAATTTTATGTATAGTTATTATGGAATTTTTGCATGATTATTAAAAATAGGCGTCCAAATACTTTTGTCTGTAATCTTCCAATAAAATTAACTTGTATTTTACAACTACTAAAATATCTATTTGTTGAAAACGTATAAAACGTATCCACATTTTCCTTCCAAAAAATCATTCTTAATCATCTCAAGATTTAATAATAATAACAATAACAATAAAAAAATTTTAATATACAAAAAAAAAAAAAATGTTGTCAAAATCTTTTAAATCTTTGGCATTTGCTCTTTTAATTATGATGATTTTCTCGAATGCATTTATCCATGCATCACCAGTTTTCGAAGAAAAACGCGATGTAGACTCCTTGGAAAAACGCGCACCAAAAGATACAGTCAAAGGTGCTTTTGCAAGATTCGCTGGCAGTAATGAAGCCAAAGGTATAGTTACCTTTGTTGAGGACGTTGGCGCTAAACCCTGAGAGATAATTTCAACTGCAGTGTTCTCCGATGGTTTTGTGGATAAGAATATTAAAAATTATAGATTTACCATTGGAAGCAAAAATGTGGATAAATTTTTTTCAATCTTGGTAATTGATCCTCCTAGAGCAAAAATTTTTGATTGCTTTACTAATACTACTATCGAGGGGCTTACAGTTAAAGATATCGTAGGCAAGAAATTTCTTATTGAGAGAAAGATTAACAAGAAATTTAAAAAAATTGGCCAAGTTAAATTTTCAGCTTTCTAATTAATCAATTTTCATTATTTATGTATGTATTATATAGTATGTATTTTAATAGTTATTAACACAATTGCTATAATAACATAACAATGTATAATCAAATAAATATAAATATACTTTATATGCTTATTTGAAAATATTGATAATATAACAGTTTTCTATAAACAATTGCTTTTTAATAAAATGCATAAACTTAAGAGAATTTCTAAACCAAGCGATTATTTATCAATCAATGATTAAGATTTTTATGATCCATATTTAATAAGAAAAAACATATTTTTGGTGACCTGCCGTATTTTTATTAATATTAATATTAAATAAATATATATAAAGAAATAATTCGAAAAAAAAAATAATGTTTTTTTATTGTAAGTTTTTTATCGAGTTTTTTTTTATCATATGTTTAATGAGCTTCTTCGATGGCATTTTCAATTATGTCGTAATTTATCTGTATGCTAGTATTTAAAGTATCAAAATGTTCTCAAAATAATTTCTTTAGTTTGAATTGTGGGATTTGGTCAAAGCAAGATACTGAACTAGCACATTGATATTTTGGACTTTTGCAATATAGACATTCAAAACGTAATTACTTATGACCATTAACATTACCAAATACAACTTGGAGTCAGAATTTACGGAGTTGCAACTAACGGCAATGTTGTATAAATATCTATATAATGCTACATTCAAATAAAAGGTAGGTTGCTACCCTTACTTTTCTAGTTATATCGATTTCTTTCTCCCACGGGTATGTTCTATGCATTTTAAAACTATTTCTTTCTTATAATAATTCATCAGGAAAATTTCCCCGCCGTAATATTACGTCAATAAATTTTAATATGTAAAGTTGTAATATTTGCATAATATTACGGGACCCGCCGTAAACTTATGTAAATAATGTAATAACTACGTAAATCCACGTCAGAAAAAAATTCCTGATGTTAAAGATGAACTTTGACTTTTAAAACATATAGAGAATTCAAGGTCATAATTGAACTTGAAAATATATTAAGATAGAGCATTTCGGTATCACAATTGACCTTCAAAATATATAAGGAATCAGGCTATAATTGAACTTGAAAACATGTAGAGAGTTTCAGGATTTTGGAAACATATTGAAAATTTCAGTATCACATTAGACCTTTAAAACATATTAATATTAATATAAAGAATTTCTGAGTCACAACTAGTGTTGGTTTCCAAAACTAGAGAGTTTCGCAATTGTGCGAAAGTCAAAAGGTTCCGCCATAAGTCAAAACTAGTTTTGATTTTTCACTATTGACTTTTGATTTAGTTTTGGCATATAACTTTTAATTGTAGTTTTGACTTTCACCTCTTCAAAATAGTTTTGGCGACCAATACTAGTCACAATTGACCTTTAAAACTTAATATTAATATAGAGAATTCCTAGGCCACGTTTGACCTTTATTATTTGTTTATTATTAATAAAATGATATACATTTCTCATCCTACAATAAATATCCGACCATCTGACGATCATTTTAATAATTGAGAAACTTATACCTCACGCAGTTCAAAATTTTATTAATCAAACCGGGACTGGTGCATTAAGTAAACATGTTTTTAAAG